ATTTAATAATGCCTGTGTTTAACAAAACAGCTAGCAAAATTGTTGAAAATTAATAGTCAGCTTTGGTGAGCCTGTTAGACCTGGCTCTAGCATAATACTGGACAGTCTGTAATTTACCCAATTGGACCCAAACAAGGGCCAATTTAGGATTCAAGCTTCCCACACAATATTTTCCAAATTTGTCTGATGATAAGAATTGCCTAGGGCTGGCCAGTTAGTTTAGTTAGTTAGAGCACAATGTCACAACACCAAGGTCTAAGGGTTTAGATCCCTGTATAGGCCAGCTGCCAAAAGAAAATAAAAGAAAAGAAAAAAGAAATTGCCTAGGACATCTATTATGATACTGATTCCCACGCCCTCTTGGAAGATTCTGATTCTGAATATCTGAGGCAAGATGATTTTTCTCAGTCTGCAAAACTCTGCCATTAGCCACCAGTACCACCAAATCTGGGCCTGAAGGGAGATGATACAAATACAGTGACCTGGAAGAGAGGAGGCTAGAGTGAATTCTTTGGTGAGAAGTTGTTGCAAAATTTGGGATACATTTTTTTTCTCTCTAAAATCATTCCCAGCTTCAATATACATTGACGCTGCAATTCTCTCATACTCATCTCCCTGAATGCTGTCTGGAAAAAGAAAACCTTCCAGAAAGAGCCAAGTGAAAAGGCCCAGCAATTTGACACAATCACACTCGTATATCATTACACTGTTTACATGCTCTGAAATTCTAAGGTTGCTATTCTGCGGCATTGTTTTGATACTGTGACAAGATATTTTCAGTGCACATGAAGCCAAATTAAAACAGGGCCGGGACCTCAGTCCTGCCCCCCAACTCCTGCGACCAGTCCAGAGGGTGGGGGCTGAGGGCCTTGGCCACAAAAAAAAAAAAAAAAAAAAAAAAAAAAAAAAGGTGAAATTAAACCAGGGCTCCGTTAAATGGAAAACTACAGTAAATATCGGATGAGTGAAGAAAAAAGACCAAACATTTCTGAGAAGTATTTTGAGATGCTCATGGCCCATGTGCAGAGATGTGTCTGTCTTGCCGGCAGGGGAGAGAAAGGCTTCTGTCTGCCACCTGTCTTGACAGGACCTGATGCCTTGTGTTAGCACAGGAAGAACTTCCTATCCCCTGGTAAGGGTTGGATGTAGGCTGCTGGTAGGCTACTTCAGCTTCACTGTACATGATCAAGGATCTCACTAGCCTTCTACTTAGTCCCTGGTTCCTTGGGTTGGACTGGAATACGATGGGTTAGTCAACCTTTAACCTCACTTGCCTTCTTCCTCTGTCCTTTTTCTGTCGACGCTATCCCTGTTTCTCTTTTTTTTGGTGGCTGGCCTGTACCGGGATTGAACCCTGGACCTTGGTGTTAGCAGCACCATGTTCTAACCAGCTGAGCTAACCAGCCAGCCCCTGTGACTAGCCCTGCTTCTGGTGTTTCTCAGAGTGCCTCTATTTGGGGACCTCTGTGAGCTCAGAGTTAAAGATCCATTTGACTCTGGAAACCACTGCTAAGAAGGAAGTCCACACCCTTAGGTTAGACTTTTAAGGTCATTAGTTCCTAACATCTTTGGGCCTACAGACTTCTCTGAGTCTTCACATCAATGTGCTGGATAGAGTTTCAGGGGTTTGTTGATTCCCTCAAGTCCATCAGTGGATCCCATGAGGAGATTCTGTCTTAGGTAGTAAGTAAGACCCTGGTGGCTTTGGAGTAAGGACGCCTTGGCCCTCAGCTGAGAGCTGCTGACATGCTCCACAAACCCAGCACGGCAGCTATGAGGAGAATTTTTTTTTTTTTTTTTTTAAAGATAACGGGTAAGGAGATCTTAACCCTTGACTTGGTGTTGTCAGCACCATGCTCACCCAGTGAGCCACGGGCCAGCCCCTATGACGAGAATTTGAATGGCCTTACTCTTCTTGGAGTCTTGATACACTTCTAAGTGGATAATTGGGTAATTTGGAGCAAGATCAAGAGGCATTTTTGGCGTTCTGAAATACCCTTGAGTTTCTTATCAAGGAAAAGGATAGAGGGGAGTTCTTTAGGGAAATAAAAAGTTTCTGTGTCATAGGGGCCAGCCCGTGGCTTACTCAGGAGAGCGCAGTGCTGATAACACCAAGGCTGCGGGTTCGGATCCTATATAGGGATGGCTGGTTTGCTCACTGGCTGAGCGTAGTGCTGACAACACCAAGTCAAGGGTTAAGATCCCCTTACCCGTCATCTTTAAAAAAAAAAAAAAAAAAAAAGTTTCTGTGTCATTGTTTAATCCAGAGAAAGAAATGGACAGATTTTCAGATCTGTGAAGGGAAGTGTAACCAGTAGATTCTAAGCTTGTTTTCCATGTTCACTTCAGGACATAACAAGAATTTTGTGAGCTATTTCTATCATGTGTACCGTGGGGTGGAGGTGAAGTGTGATGATTATGAAACTGGTCTGTGCCATCAGGAAGCATGCCAGTCTACATAAAGCAGAGAATGAACAAATTAAGAGCCCCAGCCCCCTGGCCATCCCTCCTCCCACCAATGCCCCAGATACATGGCATATAGTTGGGGTTTTTTTGTTTTGCTTTGTTTTTCTAATAAATGTTGAGGGGAATAACTTTGTTGAATGAGTTGACTTGTCCTATAGAGTCATTTTATGCTGACTAATTGAATTTTGAAGAATGTCTCCCAAAGGCAATGAAATTTTGTTTTGTCTTAGTTACTGTTGCGCGTTGAGCCATTATTCCTGGCTGTTGTTAGGTTAGTCTCTTCAGGCTACTCCCAATGATTGAAAATAAAACCTTTATGAGAACTGCGCAGCCATCCAGAGCGTAGGGCTTGCTGGAGGCTCTGGGAGGGAAAAAGAGGGGTGGAGTGGGTTGAGGGAACAGGCAGGGACAGCTAAGCTTTGAGGTTCTAACAATGATTTCTCCCTTCTGAACTGCAGATATTGGGGGACACACACACATACACATATTCATATTTTTTTTCTTTTTTTTTTTTACTCTGTTTTTTCCATCTTGGTTCATATTCACATCCACTTATAAGTTGTAATGTATATACCCTTTTGTGCATTTGTTCTGTTTTTAAACTTAACATTATATAACGTTTTTAATGTTGTTATTTAGTCCTTAGGAGTAGCTTTTAAGAACAGACTCTTTTCTGTCTGTAAAAGTAAAGCATATTCATTATTTTTTAAAATGCATACGATATGCAAAGAAAGTGAAAAAAATCACCTGTGATATTTAGAAGTGAGTCCTTCAAGACTTTTTCTATGCATTTATAAAGATATAAAAATGGGATCATACCATACATGCTGTTTTAGTTTCTGCTTTCCATGTCAATACATATAGATAAAGAGTAGCATTTTTAATTCTTTTATGGGTATGCAAGATTTATCTTATTGATTACATTTCAGTTGTTTCCAAATTGTCTCAATTTTAACACCATCTTTTCTCCTTAAGACTAATTCCTAGAAGTAGAATTGGTGGGTCAAAGAGAATGCACTGAACCGGCCAGCTGCAAAATAAAAATAAAAAAGAGAGAGTGAGCTAATGCATATTTAACATTTTGAAATACACTCTTAATAGAAGTGTGCATGAGGGTTCCTTTCCCCCTCTCTTGCCAAGGTAATTATCTTAACAGCCCCAAACAGTCCCGAATTAATGCTCAGAGGACAGACTTTTCGGTTTGGAGGCAGAAAAGTGGGAAATTTTATTCCTCCTCAAAAATCAAAGACATTTGTTAAAACACGATGGCATAGAGAACAGGTTAAAAAGAGTTTAGGACTCAAGGGGAATTCGTCCAAACTTCGGGTCCTGGCCACCCGCCTTAAAGCAGTTAAGAGCCACAGTGTCATGTGTCCGCATCGCCGCTAGGTGGCGAGAGGGAGGCCTGGGGCGATCCTAGCACCGGCTCCGTTGGCCGGCGACAGTCCGACTCGGTGTCCTGGAAGGCAGGGGAAGAACAGGGCCAAACTGGGTGGGGAGAATTGGGCTCCGGGCCCAGAAGCAACGAGGGAAGGCCCAGGAGATGGATTCAGCGTTCCAGGAAAGAAGATGTGGCTTAAGCGAGTAAACCGCGGCTGCAACCGTGTTATCACCGCCTGTAACCCGCCCTGAGCGCTGCTGAAAGACGCGAGGGGGCGCTTGTGCCGCGTTAGGGACGCGGTGGCCCCGGCATGGACCAGGCGACGCGGAGCGCGTCCCGGCCAGGCGCCACGATGGCACGGCCGCGTTTGCTCCTGCAGCCTGGAGTCCAAGGAGGGCACGTCGGTGGGAAAAGCCAGAGCGGTCGGGATCCTGTCACCACCCCGCACCCCGCTTAGTGGCTGCGGACCTAAGGAAGTGACAGGAACTCTACGCGTCTCGGCTCCTCTTCTACGAAAGGGGCTCATACCCAGGGAAGGGGATTGTGAGGGTTGGTGAGATAACACACGTGGCGGGTATTTTTGTTCACAACCCTCGCCCCGCCGCCCCCTTAGAAACACCACCACCACCCTACTGACACCCGGCACAGTTTACTAACGCCCTGGAGGCTGCAGGGGGACAGACGAGAAGATGTATCTCAGTAGAGATTTACTGTGTTCCATTCTCTCTTTCAGTGAGCCCTCGAGTCCAGAAAGGAGTGTTACAGACCCCGGTCTTCACTGTCAGGGGGCCCACGGTGTAACTGGGGAGGCAGGAGTGATACACACGCAGGAAAATTACTTCAAAAGCCTCACCCAGGTTCAAAATCAACAGTACTCCCGGGAGAAGGGATGCCAGCCCGTCCCGGCCAGCTGTGAGCTCGGACAGCATCCTGAGTCTCTCCAGCAAGTCTCTCAGTTCCCTGGTCCAGCTCCCAGTCGGAGGAGGTGGCTGGTGGAATGAGAGTAGGGGGCGTGGGGGCTCGGCTCTGTGCTGGCAGTTGCCATGGTTTTGCTCCGGGTTCTGGAGCCAACCTGCCCACTCCCTGAGACGCTCAGGTCACAGAAGCAGTAGGTCAGAAGGCTGAGGGGACACGAGAAGTGCCACCCTGGAGCCTACCAACACACCTGTTGAGATGAAGTCCTCAGAGGGGCAAGGAGGTGAAGGGGACAAGCCACTAGAGAAGGTGAAGTGGGGCTGGGGATGGGAGCAAGGGCGGGAAGGAAGGTCCCTGAGGGGCTAGTTTTGGAAAGCAGAGAACATGAAATTCAAGGAAGAAGGGTAGAAGGAAAAACGATGGGTACATGAGTCAGGAAGAGGTTTAGAGAGTACGAGAACATCAATTCAGTCAGACGTCTTTATCAAAGACCCATTTTCCTGGCAAGGTGATGGGAAGGGGTCGCATCACACTGTCGGTTGTAAAGACTCGGGGCGTGCGTGTGCAAGTGTACGTGTGTGTGTACACATGTGCATTACGGCCTGTGTGTGTGGCTGTGTGGTGTGTTTACGGAGCTGATCAGCCAGAGTCCCCTCTCTCTAGGGCCCGGAGGAGCCTGTGTCCCATCCTGTCTCTATCTACCTCCCTCCCTCTCCCCAGTCTCTCCCTTCAGAGTGGCCTGGGCATGGATCTTCTTTGTTTCCCCTGAACACACACAGGAATTAATGCTCACTTTTCTGAGAGGCCTTTGAAAGGTGAGGTACAAATCCAGTTGTGTCAATCTAATCCTGTGCTCTAACTTCTAGCATTATTTCACAGTCACTTTGTCTCTGCCAATTTTCAGCTTTTTTTTTTTTTTTGGCCCCACTTTTGCTTTCAAAGTTTTCTTTCTCTTCATCACCATCACCCATTTTTTCTAACTGCCTATTAGATGCATGGCATAAGGCTAGAGGTTAGGAATGCAAAGAGATAGGCCCAGGATTTAGGCAATCAATAATCGTTTCTGAATGAATGAATGAATAAATGAACCCCTGCTCATTCCCGTAAGGAGTCACTTAAACCCTTTGATGCCTCAGTATTCTCGTCTGTAACCAGGGATATTAATATCTAACCTTACAGAATTTGTGGGAGGATAAAATGAGTTAATGTTTGTCAAGTGTTTTGCAAAGTTACCTACTATAACATGCTACGATTATTACAAAAGAAATAGGTAGAATATTCTAGGTTTTGTAAGTAGAGATTTTCAGATTGCCCAGGACTTACTCACATCGGTGCTGGGTCAAGAATGAGGTCATAGGTAGAATGGAGAAGGACTTTGGCTGCCATTTGGGCCAATGCTTGCCCAGCACTGCCCCTCAGGAGCAGTGTTCCAAGTCCCCCAGCTGACTCCCCTCTGCCTCCTCCTGCCAGGTGACATACGTGCCCTGCTTAGGGAGGAGCTCCAGCGCCATCCCTGCGGGAGATTCACTTGTGCGTCACGCCAAGGGCCTAGGCGAAGACACCTTCAAAATTGTGAGTAAGCAGCCAGCCTGGAACCCTGTCCCCTACTCCCTATGGGTCAGGAGACCTGGCTTAAGAATTGGCAGGCTATACTGGCCAACTGCCAAAAAAAAAAAATTGGCAGGGCTGTCCGGTTAGCTCAGTTGGTTAGAGGAGCACAGTGTTATAACACCAAGGTGAAGAGTTTGGATCCCCATACCGGCCAGCCACTAAAAAAAAAGAATTGGCAGGCCTCAGACAACTCATTGCCCCATTTGTCACACCCTTGGGAAAGAAGTGGGGTGAAAGGTCCCCTGGAGCTTCCTCACTAATCATGTACAACCCTTCCTGGGCCATGAAGGTCTGAAGCCAGGCCAGTCTGCTGTTACTCAGGGCTGCCCAGCTGCCTCTTTTCTCCCATGACCCTTCACCTTGCCTGTTGCCTCCTCAGTGTAAAGAGTACCTAAGGCCGCTGAAGAAGTTCTTGAGAAAGTTGCACCTGCCCGGCAACCTCCCCCAGAAGAAGAAGCTGAAGTACATGAAGCAGAGCCTTGCGGTCCTAGGGGACCACATCAACACGTTTCTGCAGCATTACTGCCGAGCCTGGGAAGTCAAGCACTGGAGGAAGTAGGGCAGCCTCCTTGCCCTTCTCCCCTCACCCACTCCTGGCCCAGCCCCCTCCATGCAAGGCTACACTTTAGTCAAAACCCCCCAGTCCATCTTATGTGGAGGGGGTGGAGAGAACGGGTCCTGCTAGTCACTCAGGGCAGTGCCGTGGTTGCCCCTGGACGGTACAGACAGTGGACAAAGACCACTCGAGCCCTGAGGAGAATGACCTCTGATTGGACAATTATTGTGTGCAGGTGCCTGTCTCCAAGACAGTTCTGGCCAATCCCCACTTCTCCATCCCAACAGAAAACCAAGGAAGCAGCATATGGTTCATTTCTCCTTGGGTGGGTCCCAGGCCCAGGACAAATGCTGGAGGGAGGAAGAGCTGTGCTCCACCGCCCTCAGCCCGGGATCTGTCCCCTGCAGGATGCTCTGGCAATTCGTCTCCCTCTTCTCAGAACTGGAAGCGAAGCAGCTTCGCCGGCTCTACAGGTACACCAAGAACAACCAGACGGCCAAGTTCCTGGTGAGGCTTTAGGGAAGGCTCCTCCCTGGCCCAGCTGAGGGTTGATGTGGGGGGAGGCCTGGGACTGAGTGGCCCTCTGGTCCTTTACAGGGCTCACCGCCTGAGGAAGACTCCCCTGTCCTTACTTTTACCCCTACACGGGGCACAGAGAGAGGCTGAAGAGGGCAGGGGCTCAGTGTCAAATTCCCAATACTTATTCACCATCCACATCCACACCTCAATGTTAGCAGGGGCAGGGACATCCCTAAGGAGCCATGGATGGGAGCAATGGAGGCCAGGCAGAAAGGCATGGCAGCTTGGGGAAGTGTCCGGGGACTGTTGACAGAGCCTGACCTGGCTTTCTATAGAAACGAAGGTTCTCAAACATCTTGGCCCCAGGATATGTTTACCCTCTTAAAAATCACTGAGAACCCCAAAAAGCACTTGCTTATGTGGGTTATATCTATATCTATATCTGTATTTACACACGCACGCGCGCGCGCGCGCACACACACACACACACACGTATATATTTTTTTTGCAGCTGGCTGGTTTAGGGATCTGAACCCCTGACCTTGGTGTTACAAGGCAGAACTCTAACCAACTGAGCTAACCGGCAGCCCCTTATCTAATAATATTTATCCTAGTAGAAATTAAAGCTAAAGAAAATAATTTAAATATGTACTTAATAATTTGTTTTAAAATAAATAACATTCCATGTTAACATGAATAATTTTTATGAAAAATAACTATATTTTCCAAAATATAAAAAAAGTGAAAAGAGTGGTAGTGTTTTACATCTTTGCAAATTTTGCTAGTATCTGGCGTAACAGAAGACAGCTGGATTCTTATATCTGCTTCTGTAGTCAATCTCTTCTGAAATATTGACGATTGAAGTACGTGGAGAAAACTGAGCCTCATACAGATATGCAGTCGAAAAAGGAGTATCTTATTAGTCTTTCCAGATAATTGTGGGTGTTTTTCTCTGATACCACACCAAAACTCAACAAGTAGCAGTTTCTTAATCGCAACATGGAATCTGAATCATTTGAATGAACTCTTTAAAATTATTAGACTTTTTTTTTTCAGCAGTTTTAAGTTAACAGAAAATTCAGTGGAAAGTTCAGAGAATTCCCATGTACTCCCGCTACCCGTTTCCCCAATTATTAGCATCTTGCATGAGAGTGATACATTTGTTATAACTGATGAGCCAATACTGATGCATTATTATTAGCTAAGTCCATAGTTTACATTAGGGTTCACTCTTTGTGTTGCACATTTTATAGGTTTTGACAAACGTAGGGTGACATGTATCCACCATAACATAAAGAATAGTTACACTGCCCTAAAGCCCCCCTTGCTCACCTATTCATCCCTCCCTGCCTCTTCCCAAACCCCTGGCAACTACTGATCTTTTGCTGTCTCCATAGTTTTGCCTTCCCAGAATGTCACATAGTTGGAATCATATAGTATTTACCTTTTTCAGATTTGTATCAATACAATTTTCATACTAGGTTTCATTAGAATCCATTGGTCTCTTTTTTGCACTTTAAATGGACCGCACATTTCAGGGGGCCAGTGAGGTAAAAATATTTTGGGGTGGGCCGGCCCGGTGGCGCACTGGATAGTGCGCTGCTTGGGAAGCGCGGCGGCGCTCCTGCCCGAGGGTTCGGATCCCACATATGGACCGGTTCCCGCTCACTGGCTGAGCGAGGCGCGGGAGCAACACTGAGGGTTGCGATCCCGTTGCCGGTTCCCGGTCCAGTACGGGGGCAACACTGAGGGTTGCGATCCGTTGCCGGACACGGAAAAAGACAAAAAAAAAAAAAAAAAATATTTTGGGGTACACCAGGGATTTATTTGCACAGCCCACTTTGAGAACCACGGTCCAAAATAATCATCATAGGTCACAGTTGTAAAAGCTTTCTAGGGCCGGCCCGGTGGCACGCTGCTACAGTGCGCCGCTTGGGAGTGCGGCGGCGCTCCTGCCGAGGGTTCGGATCCCACATACAGACCGGTTCCCGCTCACTGGCTGAGCAAGGGGTGGACACAACACCGAGGGTTGCGATCCCGTTGCCGGTCCTGGTCCGGTACGGGCGCGACACTGAGGGTTGCGATCCGTTGCCAGACACGAAAAAAGACAAAAAGGAAAAAAAAAAAAAAAAGCTTTGTATGTGCCGGTACTTTCTGTTCCCTTGTGTAATCTTCAAAAGCAACCCTACGTGGTAATAAGAATTATTGCCTGCAGTTTATAAATGAAGATCCCTATGTGGAGAGGTCAAGTAACTTGTCACAGGCCACATAGCAAGTGGGAAGGAAGAGCCAGGGTTCCACCTCCATGTGGTTCAGACGAAAGCCCTGCCCCAACCACGACCCACACCACCACTCTAGCTGTGCAGCTCTAGCCAAGTCCTCTCCCTCTCTGCCTTTGTTTCTTCCTCTGAAAGTGAGTGGTTGGATCATTTCAGTGATTCCTCCTCTGAATATCAGGAACTGCGATTTTAGTGATTCCTGGATTCCACCTTGGCACCTGGCCAGTGAGGGGACCTGAACCCTTGACCTTGGTGTTACAAGGCTGTGCTCTAACCAACTGAGATAACTGGCTGGCCCCCCACCAGGGAAGTTTCAAAAATCTTCAGGCTCTCAATTTAAATTTTGCTAAGTTAGGACTTTGTTAAGTTAGGACAAAACAGGTACCATTGTTTCATTACAAACAAATAAGACACTTTAACTCCAAAAAGAGATGGCGGACATGATCCATGATCTCAAAATAAAGAACAACCCAAGAAGAGACCATTGGCAGCCTGGCCTCAATGTCCCCAAGGGCCTTTCTCTCCCACATCTGTTTCTCACCCCATCTTTTTGGTTAGGCAAGTGTGAGGTGCAGTCAGACCTCAGCAGTTTCTTAACAAGTGCAGTGTCGAGACTCTAGAATCCAGGGCCCTCTCTTCTCTTTTTTCTTTGGAGGCTGGAGATCTGAACCCTTGACCTTGGTGTCATAACACCACACCCTAACCAATGGAACTAACCAGCCAGCCCTAGGTTTCTCTTTTCTTGACGCTGTCCTCAACACTGTGGCCCCATTGCAGGTGGCTTTCTGCCCCTTGGACACACCGGAGAGATCCTCGCTGGCTGACCAGGAAGACAGTCTGCCCAAGCTCTGCAGCGCCTGGGGGCTGCACAGCAACATCAGCGGTGTGACGGAGAGGCTGTCCAAGATGCAGGCCCCAGACCGTGAGGCCTCCCTGCTGCGGGAGCCCAGATCTGGGCTCCGTGGAGGGAGAGGTAATGCCCCTTGCTGTAGGGGGCGTGCCAGGACGATGAGAGGGTTTGTGAGTGGGGCCTGGGTGCTCCCGGGAGCAGACCCAAGCAGCCAGGAGCCTCTGCCCTGAGCCCGACAAGTTCCTCTTCCCTCCTTTCCCTCTGCTCCTCATCCTGCATTTTTCTTTCTGTCTGTTCTTTTTCCTTCCCCTTTTCCACTTTCTCTTTTCTCTTTTTATGCTTCCCCCCCTCCCCCCAGGTATACTCATTATAGAAAATTTCAAATGTACAGACAAGGGTTAAAAAGAAGAAAAGAGTCACCCAGCACCTAGAGGGTGTTTTTGGGTTTTGGCGGCTGGCCAGTACAGGGATCCGAACCCTTGACCTTGGTGTTATCAGCACCACGCTCTCCCAAGTGAATGTTCAGATCGAAAGTCTTGATAGATTCAAGTTAAACATTTTTTTGGCTAGGACACATTGGAGGCCAAGTTGTGTTCTTCCCACTGTTACATGAGAAAGCACATAATGTCTCGTGGACCACCACGAATGGGCCGTAAGGCTCAGGCGGGTCATCTCCTTACTCTGTCTGGGTGAGAGGCCTCACCTGTGCATTGGGGGTCGCACCATCTCCCTACCGCACAGGGTTTCTGTGAGGAAAGAGTAATAGACGTAGGTTGGAAGGAAGATTCTGTTGCTCTTCCTCTCTGCCCCCACCACAGCCCCAGATTACTGACCCGTCAGGTTACTGACAGATTCTCTTACTATTTGTGATGTCATTGGGACTGTCTCTGACCTTCCCTTTTTCAGGTTCTTTAAGGAAACTTTCTCAAAAACCAAAACTCAAGAGAAAGAGGATTAAGGAAGCCCCAGAAAGTCCAGAGAACTGCCTATAAGAAGACCTGCCGGGACAGAGGGCCAGCTCACCCTGGGTCCAGAGCACTTGTGCGTCTTCAACACCTCAGCGCCTGGGGAGATGGGGACCAAAGAGGGGAAGGAAGAAAATTACCCTTATCAAAAGGATGCTCAGGTCTTAATTATGAATAATGGGGTGGGAAATAAACATCATTAAGGCAGTTCTACTTTACAGAGCTAACGGTCATCATTCATTCATTTTTTATTTGTTTAAAAAATATTTGTCAGCCACCTTGTAAGTGGCAGATGCCTCACATATGCACAAATGAGTAAGATGTGGTCACCTGGATCAAGGACCATCACAGTCTAGTGGAGGAGACAGACATGTAAATAGACATTACAGAGGGTAAATACCGGTGACTGGAGGAGGACTGGAAAGGGGAGAGCACAGGTAGGGAGGGAGAGATCCTGAGGTGAGAGAGTGAAAGTCTGGCAGTTTGCCTAAATCATCAGGACTTCATTTTGTGGGTAACTTGGGGTGGGTAGTGGCAAGGGAGGTGTTAAGCAGTGGAATGCTCTGGTTTGACTTGGCTGTTGGGAGATGCAGTGGTAACTGTGAGCAAAGAGCATGGAAGTGATGAGGCTAGAGGCAGCAGATGGAAGAAACACCACCAGTAGTTTTAAGACGGTGGTTCAAGCCAGTGGTCAAAAAATAGCAGCCTATGTGCTAAAATCAGACCACTGATGTGTTTTGTTTGTCCCTGGTGGTGTTTCACTTGTTCTTTAAAACACTAAAAAAAAATTAGTTGCCAATATTAAAACTTGGTATATTTCACATTAGAAGCGACAACAGATTTCTGGCTTCCGTAAAAACTGCCCACACTTGGGCCATTTCCACGTGACGACAATGGCTGGGCTGGGAAGCAGTTACGAAGCCTTTGCTGATATACTTTCCAGTTCACCACAGTCCCCACCCCTCCCTATGGCCTTACATGCTGGCCTCGTTCACTCATTTGTTTATTTGTTTATTTATTTTATTTTATTAATATTATTATTTTTTTTACATTCTAGGATGTTGTTGCAGAGCAGTTGGGAGGGAGGGGGAGAGGAGAAAGGGGAAGGAGATGGGATGGAGGAAAGAGAAGGAGCAGGTTTGAGGACTGTGGCACCCCCTACATTCTCACAGGGGAGACCAGGGGACTTCTAGTTGTGGCTTGGTCATTGCCGGGCTGGGTGCAGATGTCACAGGGGGGTGGCAAAAGCCCTTGCCTCCCACCTCCCCAGCTTGAGAACCCAGGACACTTTTTGCTGTGGCTCAGTGGTTGTCACTGGGCTGGTTGTGGGTGTGGGGTGGGCATGGCCAAGGCTCTCAGCCTCCCACTGCTCTGGCTTGGGAGAGCTCAGGGCACTTCCTGCGGCAGCTCAGTGGTCGTCACTGGGCTGGTTGCTCGTGTTGGGGGGCATGACTGAGGTCCTCGGCCCCCCACTGCCCTGGCTTGGGAGAGCCCAGGGCGCTTCCTGCGGCAGCTCAGTGGTCGTTGCTGGGGTGGTTGGACTTGTGAGGGGTGTGTGGCTGAGGCCCTTGGCCCCACCCTCTGGATTGGTTGCAGGTGTCAGGGGACAGGGCTGAGGTCCCTGGCCCTCCCCACTTTCTGGTTTGATAGCCCAGGGGACTTCCAGTCCTTCTAGGTGTTATAGGTGTTCTTTGGTGAAATGAAACCTTTACTAGTTAATATCAAACTTTGTCTCTGGTTGTGGGTATTTTGTTTTTACTTTCAGTTCTGTGTTGGATTATTTGCAGTTCCCACCACTTAAACTCTGCACTGGAACTAATTTGCTGTCCTTTGCTTACTTCTAAAATGGGGGAACTTCCTGTGAGGACCAGCGCTTGAGCTCTGTGGTTGAGCTAAATTGCTGCTTTGCTGCTGGTTCCCTAGCGAAGGCTTTTTGTGCAGCTCAGGGTTTAATGGTTGACTATATAGGTACTTCTGGTTCTAGTGAAATCCAGTGCACCTGGGTTGTATAGAAACTCTGGTCTGGGCCTGAATCTTTTCATCAAACTGCACCCCATGAAATTCTATATTCCTGATCAGTCTCATCTGAGTGGTCCTACGCTGATTGGGGGCAGATCAGCTGTCCTTGCTGTGCCCCAGTGGGTCTGTTTCCCCCACTGCCCATGCTCCAAACACCTCCCATGGGATGGGCTGTGCTTCACTCCCTTGCAATGACTCACCGGCCTCTGAGTGGCTCTTTTTTTCAGTTATTGTGGCTCCTCGGTCCTATGCGGGTACACAGGAACCCTATTAGTGGTATTGCTGGCCTGGGGCCACCAAGGCCCTCTTCTCCCCTGCCGCCTCCAAGCAACTTCATCTGAAAGCACAGCTGCAGCTTTTCCCAGCTCCTGTTCCATGCGCTCAGCAGCTCCAGCCTGGAAGTGGCCAGGATTTGAAATGGAGCAGTATTTTGTTTCTCTCATCATGGCTTCTCTTGCCTTCATGCACTCCGTAGGTCTCTCCTCCTCTTCCCCTGAGCTCTAGTGGCCCCAGCTTGGCTGTCATTGCGCTTTTGTAGTTGTAAATTGGTTGGTTTGGGGGAGAGAGTGATGCTGGGGACCGTCTGTTCTGCCATCTTGACCAGAAGTCCCTTCACTCATTTAGATCACCTGTGTGACCCTTGTAGCCTTTAGTACTTGCTACCCCTGGAGTATACAAAATGAAGATGTGCAGAGAAGGGAGAGTAGTGAATTTATGAGATTATAGAAGGTAAAATTGACAGTTTTTGGCAACAGATGTGAGAGAAGAAAAAGGAAGGCAGGGAGCAAGTAACAATGGTACATTGTTTCTAGCTAGAAAGACCAGGTAGACAGTAGTCAACTCCAGGAGGGGAAGCCAGTCTAAGCAATTCCCCAAAACAGAAGAGACAGTTTAAACAAGGTTCTGCCTAAGGCAGATACATATAGGCCCCAGGGCTGCCCTGGAGCAGGTAGGGCCAGGGCAACATGTGTGTGACCCTATCTCCTTCCCTACATCAGTTTTATTCAGGAGTGAATATCATCATAGTTAATATGTTAAAATGAATATCAGTCTAGTTTTCAAGAACAAGGACAGGGAAGCACAGATGGGGAAAGAAGTGAGTGGGAGTAGGGCAGCTCCATCTCCTTTCCGTATACCCATTGACTACTAGAAGTGGCAAAATGAGACTGCTAAGGCACAGGCCTGGGGTCATCTTTGCTTGGCTGGTCCCTGATGGTTTTGACAAAGCAAGGAAGATTTGAGAGAGAGGGAAGGCAGGCTGGAGGGTGTCCACAATGATTAGGGGCTCTCCAACTGTTTACCCCTGAGTGATTTCACTGACAAGTCCTAGGGAAAGGACTGGTTGTTTTGGGAACAGACCAAAATAGAGAGGTGCTTCCCCATATGCAAGGCAGCACTGCCACCTAGACGAATTGTGGGACATTACAGCCATTTTCTTCCAACCAGGGCAGCGCATGTGCAAAAAGATGAAGACCAAGAGAAGTGGGTGGGGGTGAACGGTGTTTGTATTCCTTGGGAAGAGTCCAGACACCTGAAGGCAAAATGGGTAACAGGTGAGGCTTGGTTTGGAGCCCTCTCAACTCTTCCCTCACAATCAGTAGGATCTTAGAAATCAAAAAAGAACATGTCTTTGTTCTGTTCAAAACCACCTAATGGCTCCTCATTTCACAGAGTAAAACTCAAAGTCATGCAAGGGCCTTACAAGGCCCTCTAAAATCTATCCCCACTGTCTATTCTGTTACATCTTTGCCCTCGTCCTTACTTTTCTCGTGCTTGTCATGCACACTCCTGCCTCACGGCCTTTTCCTTGGCTGTGTCCTCTGTCCGGAATGCTCTTCTCCAAGATACCCAATTTGCTAACTCCTTCCACTGCCTCCAAATCTTTGTTCAGATGTCACTCCTCAATGTGGCCTAGCTTGTCCCCGTTTTAAATTGCAACCCGCCCCTTACTCTGAATATCCCTTGCTCAGTTTTTGTTTCCCTAAAGTCCTTACACCCCTCAAATATTGTATCATTTATTTAATGATTATATTTCTTGTTTATTAACTATCTCCTTCCCTTATAATGTAATTTCCACAAGGGCAGAGATTTTTGTCTGTCCGATTCATTGCTGTATCCCAAGCAACTAAATTAGTACCCAGCACATAGTAGCTACTTAACAAACTTTTATTGAATAAATGAACTAAAACAGAGCATTTTGCTCAACCACCTCCTAGTTCAGAGGGGAAACAGAGACTCAAGAAGAAAAGTCACATCTCCAAGTTGTACAAAAGTTATCACCACAACTGGGACTAGAAGTCAGGCCTGATGACCCCCAGGCCAGCACACTTCTAGGCACCAATGACATGTGTCCTACCTACTTACTCTCGGCCAACACTCATTTCTCACAGAATATAAACCCACAAGACTAAATGTATTACTTCCAGGATTGTTTGTATTTTCTTATTTAGTTTGTCTACCCAAAGTAAGACTCTTTAATGGTAGACTTGGGGACACCAGAAATAGCGTGGGGAAGCTATTTAGAAGTGAGGAGCCTTGGTGGAAATCCCCAAATCACACCTCGGCCTATGCTGCCTTAGGGGTAAGGCTCACCCTAGAGAAAATGCCTCACTGATGGCCAGACCAGGCAGCCCTCAAGAAGGGTTCCTCTTCTAGAGAATGATGTATACTATTCCTAAAGTTTTAAATGGAAGAGGCTCCTAACCACAAAGTAATAAATGAACACTGCCTAACCCACTCCCACCCCAGTCTCCCGGGAGTCACCCTGTCTGTTCTTCATAATAATGACAAATGCATGTAACTCAGGGAAGACAGCAGAGTGTTTTGCCTCCAATTCTCATTAGATTTTTGTGTCAAGACTTTTTTTTATTTTTGCATACATTTTCTATTTTTATAAAGCTAAATCATCAGTCTTTTCTTTTACGGCTTTTATGACTTTGAAAGGCCTTCCCCACTCAAAGAATATTTAAAATTCTGTATTTCCTTCTAGCACTGCTCAGGTTTCAGTGTTTACAATTAAATGACCAGGCTATCTAAAATCTATTTGTTTTAAGTTGCATAGTAGGAATCCAATATATATTTTTTCAGATGGCTAAACAGCTGTCCTTGCACATGTGAAAGTGTATTTATTATAGGCTATATCATATAGGGGGAAAAATCCATCTTTTTTACACTTATTTGAAATGCCACCTTTCTTACA